GACACAACAGTTAGAAGTTAGGAAAGCATACGTAATTATAATCAGTCATAATTTATACTCTGGAGTACAAAAACAACAAAAGACCCGTAGTGAGGTTTATATTTTCCAGTGTGGCCTCGCTCCAAATGAGGATGCATGCCCCTGCTTTAGAAAGACATTTAAAATTTCGTATCAGTAAAAGTATTAATCAATTCCAGTCGGAACTGTGGGTCTGCATATTAAGACACATGCAAAATAACTATATTTGTATCAATGTGGCGCTCTGAACAGTTTACCAAAACATTACGCAAGAAATTTTTCTATGAGAACATTTCTAATAATTAGAGTTTCCACTGACAGATGTAAATAAAGTAACGGATTATGAATCCAGCCTCCTACTGAGTGGACAGAGGGAGGTTTGAAATCTACTGATGGCTGAAGGCTTCTTCTTCGATACATTATGCACTAATACTAAGGCCTGTTGCACCCAAAGTTGATCTTTACAGAATATGGATAACGTCCAACAGAATAATTAGGAGATTAATACTTTTTAAATATTGTTTATAATAATACGCATTAAGATATTGTATATAAAGCAGACAACGCTTTCAGCTAAGAGACTCACTGCTGATTCTTAATTTCAGTGTTTTATAGTAATTCTAATGTATGCTTCTGCTTTCACACCAACTCACTTTCACATGTACCCTATAGTCCTATAAATTTATATTTTATAAAACATAACAATTCTACTTGGAATCACATAACAACTCAGGTACATTCTTTCAAAAGAGCAATGATTAATCTATCAGAATTTCTTTATAACTTTGTAAATCCTCTAATCCAAAATGTTTGAGATTAAAGAAACAAATGTGGAGAATGAAAGAATAATGAAATAACTTAAAAGATTTCTATAAGAAATTACACAAAAACAATTATCGCATGTTAGTAACCATTTTCAAAGCTAAAATCAAACTTTAATAACACAAAACAGAAAATACAATATCAAACTTTTAGAATTGGCAACATTCGTAAGCTGCATTCGAACACGAAGTCTAAAACCTAAATTGCCGAAAGAATTGATTCGTTCGTCACAGGCAGAACGACCACAGTCAGATAACTCGCTACCTTAAAACATGCTAGATGTTACCCGTTTGTTAACTGGAAACTTTCAAACCTACCGCTGAATACAAACGATAGAAACCGACTAGGCATCTCTGATTTCTCACGACCTGCACAGGCCATAAGACAGAATAGTTGCATCTACCGTACATCTGAAGGCACCCCAGTCCTCGTAGTGTTTACATAGAAGACATTTTATGACTAACAAAATAAAACTATGGTACGTGGTCCAAATTTCATATTAAAACAGAAAGTAGCACAGATTTAAACATATTAAATAACAACTGTATCTATTCTGGATATAATCTATGACTTTTGTCTAACTGCGATGATAAATCAATCTGTGATTCCAAGGGAAATAAAACATACTCAGTTGTAATTTTTTAATATATATACTGTGTGTTATATATTAAGGTACTTGAGTACGCAGTTTTAAGTTTTTTGGTAAACACTGATATGCACTTCGTAGGGAGAAAGGACTGCGTTTAACAAGGAAGAGCTGCCTCTCCCCACATTTCTTGCACTAATTAAACCAAATCCTAAGATCCAGCGACCTCTAACTTGTGAGCGAAGTCTTCTGCGCATCCAGGCACATATTTATTGTTACAGCAGATAACCAAAACGGCGTGAAGCCTACTCGGGAGATAAGCCGTTTAAGTATAAAGTTAAAGTTTGGGAAACTATCTTTACTTCCAACAGGATAGATTGGATGTGATCAACGACACGACTGCCCCTTGTATCTGTCGTGGGTATAAATACAATAGACAGTCGTGTCACTGATAAAATCCACCGTGATGATGGGAGCAAAGATAGTCTCCGAAACGTTCGATTGTAACTCGGCACTTACACGGCTAAACGCCCGACGAGATTGAATTTTATTCAGTCATAGAAATTTTTTCGAACATTACGAAGTTCAGAAGGAAACCACAGTTATAAAATATGTTCAGATAAGTAGCCTCTGATATGCAGATGACAATGGATTATGAAATCCTGGTCTTCACGTATTTGTTACACTTTGAATTTACCACAGTGTACCGTTTCACCCAGCTACGTGTTTTCTCTTAGAATTAAATATCAAGCATGTGTGACATCGTAATGTAAGCATGTGTTTAATTTCAAGTTTCTAACAACATAATGTTCATATTCTAAATTTCGTTCACAAGATAAAAGACAGCTACAGTCCTAGAAGGTGCTGTACGAGAATTAAAAAGTGAATCTGCAAATAGCCAGGATGCAGCAGAAGTTTATACGATTTTCAAAAGCCCACATGAGAAATTTGGGGAGCTAGTCTAACCATAGAAATGTAAAATATACAAGCTATAATTCTGCGTAAAAACACACGACTTCTGATATTGAATGTTAACAGTTTCCAACGACTTGTATGTTTACTCCATTTGCCATTAATCAAATGTTACTATCACATGGCCTACAATTTAATGTACAAATGTTTTATTTTCATGTTCAAAAGGCATGCTGCGTATGCAAAACACGCCATAATTCTTTTTTAATTTTTAAATGTGCCTTTCTCACTTCTCTTGTGAGTGTATTGCTAATACCAAATGTAGCAGTTTATACATTATGTAATTTATAACTTACTACTGTATCAATGACGTATATATTATTCATTGTAAAATAAACGCCTTTATCTCATACTTGCAAGTAAATAACAAGTACAAATGCACAGCTGATAAAATATGAAAAAAAATTGCAAGTAAATAACAAGTACAAATGCACCGCTGATAAAATATGAAAAAAAAATATTATTCTGAACCGTTACTTCAATAGAAAAAACAACCTTTCCCTTCCCACAAGCTTAAACCGAATTTCTTCAGCTCCTTTCAGAAATCCATACGTGAGAGTAACGGCCTGTATCTGTAGTTGTGCTGACAGAGGCGAGCGATAAACGTCATTTCAATATTACGCAGGAAATTGCCCACTGTCCATGATACACTTTATACAGACCTACACTACGTCCTGGTTTACGTCTCTGAATATTTATATATGCTTTATTTCGATCGCGTTATATCCACATGCATCCGCGTTATGGAAAACAGCTGTCTCTTATAAATCAATCGCGTTACAGCCAATTCGCGTTATGGAAGAAATTTCTGTATCTGAAATTTACCCTGGTCGAATTACTTTTTTTCTGTAGGTTCCTCTTATCTTTCCAGTTGAATAACATATTGGCGGAGTGTGAGGACGACGTTCAGAGAATATGTGAAATTAAGTGGGATGAGGTGACACAAAATATTGAAGTAATAAAATCAATGACATTAACATAATATACACGAAACATAAGATAAATTTAAAATTTTAGCCAGAAAAATTAAGAAAGAGACCATTTGCGAACCATAATTGAGAAATAAGGATTTTAACTCCGCCCACCCCACCAACATTCCGAAAAATCCGGACGTCGTGAGGATTTTTTCTGATTTTCAACAGTTATTTACAAATAAGAGGTAACAAAAAGAGTGATCTTTATACCATAACGCATAAAATGTTTTCTAGGATAATTTTTAAACCGAATTCCAAAATTAGGCTAAGCTAATGAAAAAACAAGAATATTCCTCATAATTTTTGTAAGGTTATTATAGACTTTGTTACTAATTTTAAATCTCGCCAACAGGTAGGAAGTATCAGTTCGGAATTTAAATAATAAATATTGCACATATTAATTTCGTTTAACAAACTGAGGCAATGATCCGTACTACGTAAGAATATGAAATAGGTCAAGCAAGCTCTGTGATGGATGACCTTTAGCAACAGCAAATTAACTGTGTGATCCAGTACGGTCCTGTAAAATCCAGTACTTTGCGTGTCTACTAAAAGTGAATATGTGCATCCCCCAGAACGTGGGTCCACAGTCATCATAAATATGTACGAGACTTGCATGCCACACGAAGTTTCGTGAATAAACTTAAAATGCTTTCGATTACTGGACGGAAACGTCACCGATGTACAAATCACGCAGGTTTCTAAACAAGACATTCAAAATATCACTAAATAGTACGGATTATGCATTATATAAAATCCAGTTTAATGTCTGTGGGTGTGTTTGCTTGAGTTAACAGACTAGACACTAGTAACATACTTACTGCCTTTAATAAGTGGACAAGTTAACATATAAATAACTTAAGAAGGCAAATTCCTGACACGGCCAAAATGTGAAATCCCAGAGAGTAATCCTATTTACTACAACATTACGTTTTCAACCCCTGATATTTACAATCATAATTCATACAGGCTAACTTCAAAGAGAGAATAAACAAACGTGTTAATGATTCCAGAAATTATTATAATAAAATGAAGATAAACGTTGAACGTTGTTCATGACATTGAGAGCACAGAAATACTTTTAAAATCTGTTTCTGAATAAAAAATCTCTCTGAAATACAAAATATTCGAACATAAATATCATGAAACTTTCAACAAAAGTAAATTTGTCGTCCTTTGACATTTCACATACTTGTTGCAATATTGACATTGACATCTACCGTATCCACACGTCATCTTCAATGTGTACTGTTGACTACGATCATAACATAACAAATAACAGTAAATTCGGACAATCATGCACTCAATCTACTACATATGCCATATGCACATTATGATGTGCAAAGATAATCATGGACCGGAAGATGGAACGCACAGTTCGAAACACGTCGCACGATAAATAAAGTAAAGACACGTAGAAAAGTGAGGGCATGAGAGCACGAATTTACATTTATTCGTTGTGCTGAGACGGACATTCTATACAGGATGAGCACAAAATAACTCTACACTTTCAAAATGATACAGAAAATAAACGTGGCGTACTTAGAATTTCACGCCCACACCAGTCGACAGAAAAACTCTCCAAGTTACATTT